TACTTGTACTTTTTACTCGTTACTTTTTAAAATAAGAACTTTTTACTTTTTACTCGTTACTTTTTTTAAAAATAATTGTACTTTTACTCGTTACTTTTTAAAAGTAACGTTGCCATATATGATTATGATCCATAATACTAAATATTAAAGTTCAATGTTAAACCTTAAATTCTGTTGTTCTTCTAGAAACACTGTATTATCGCTAGCAATACATTTTCTTGTTTTTAATGGCAAGGCATAATATACAATTGAAAATTATATAAGTATAAAATAGCAAAAGTAACTAGGTAAAACAGCCTGTAAAGCGCCTTTGTAAAGTTATTAAGTATTGCTTACTGGGATGGTCTTGATTAATTTAATAGTCTGAATCTCACATGCGAAAAAAATCGCTTGAAATTTTCGATTGAAAATGATAACCTGTTTGGTGAATTATTATTCGCTCTTAAACGCATACAAATGCGCAACGCATCGTTGCAATGAAAACGACCCCCTTAAAACCGATGCAACGAACGAAATGTAACGAAAAGTGTTCCTTTGTAAGTTGTGTTGAAGTGCAGTTTCAATGAATGACAAATAAAAGTCCGCACTATTTCTTACTTAATAGTTTTGTATGAACTTAAAATATTTTTTTAAAATCTAATTAAGGGAATTACTTTTAAGTACTTATAAGTTACTTTGGTTTAAGTACCAAATTAGCTAACTAATAGTTAGCTAATTTGGTGGCTTTATGTGGCTTTATAACTTATACATATGTGTAAGTTATAAAGCCACATCGAAAAGAAAACCCAGCATCTGACTCTACAGTCAAAAAAAACTTGCATAGTTTCACCGCATAAGATTATTATCACTGTCAATAAAAACGTCGAGGTAATATTTGCAAACCTTGATTGCTTACTTATTTCTAAAATGATGACCGCACGAATTTCTATAGCATATTCATAGGATAAAATTTTTTCTCTCTTTTTCGTTCTTTAGAGAGAGAAAATTAATGCAATTATAGCAAGAAAAATCATATATTTCATGCATCGTTTTTCGTAACAGCCTCTCTCTATATTAGTTTTAATAATCATGTAAAAATTAAGTAGAAGAATATGCAGGTTAGAACTGGTAAATGAATATCTTCTATTCGCCGGTGGAAAAAAAAATTGTTAACATAATTTGAAATTCTGACTAATCATTGCAAAGGTTGAGAAAAGCAGATATTAGATTAAAATTTTTAAAAACTAATTTATTTTTCTGGTAAAAATAGAATGCGATTGCTTTTTGTTAAACTGTCCCAAAGTTTCATTCTCAATTAAATTGTTTTTAGATTACTTTCACCCTTCTTTTGCACTTATGAACTTCAATGGTGATTGATCGTAGTTTGAAAACGTTCTCTTTTTCTTGTTCCTAACTTAAATATTACTTTGTAACTGACTTCAATGTCCGTTGTGGTAACAGAATTCTACTAATACATATTAAGGGGTGGCTTTACGGAACACCATTTATAATTGAAATAGTGAGATCATTCGATAATGACCTCAAGGAATTTTGAAAATTGATCTAGTTTACATAATTGATAGTCGTAATATGAAAATTGGGTCTGATGCTCAACACCGGATATAAAATAAAATAAAAAAAAATTACATCTAACGCTATTTAGTTCCATAAAAAGAGTTCTAGTTTGATCTAGAGCTGTGGTGGCTCAAAGGACAGAGCACTCGTCTCCCAATGAGGCGAATCAGGTATGAATCCCCGTGGTTGCTGGTTGACACAAATTCTGCTCCCGGCTCGCACTGATGGTAGTGCTGATGTAAAATATCTTCAGTGGTGGATGGATCATGGATTAGAATCCGCTTACCATCAGGCAAACTGGGTTAGGTTTTCGTGTAAAAAGTATTCTACAAAGGCTAGTTTCTCCCGATGCTAGATCTAGGAATTTCTTTATCCTATTATATAATATTCCTTTATCCTATTATGTCCTATATTAAGTTATCTTCAACAATATGAAAATTTTTATCAATAAAAAGTGGAGCTAAAGAAAAGAAACTTGGTATTTCGCTCACAAGGGAACTTCAGTCACCAAGAAGGCGACGTGTAGTAACTAAATCTACTTTAGGCTGTTCAACGCAGGCTATAAAATAAAATTTTTGTTCTTTGTGTTAATTTTTCAATACTAAATTAATTAACTTTTTTGTAAAATAACTCTAATAAACTATTAATAGCAAAATAAATTAATGAAACTTGTTATATAAAAAAAAGAAAAAAACGTGAACGTTTTATATATTTTTTATTTTTGTGACAAATAACACACTACAGATAAAAATTGCCGTTGCAGCTGTGTTCAATGAAAAAAAGGAATACTTTATTGCAAAAATAAATCATTTAAAAATAATTTTTTAAAAATAGTTAAAGACATTCAAAATGTAAAAACTGTAATTTAAAGACTTTATTATGCATTAAAATAATGACTAGTGACCCATAAATGTTAAAATATGAAAGGAATTGTTCCTAGAACAGTTTCTCTACAACAATTCAAAGTCACTTATTGAACTATGTCAGTTACGGAATTGCCCAGTTGCGATTGTTTAGTCGAGGTAAAAATAATTTTTTATTATTATCAATTCGAAATATGTTTAAAAAAAATTCCTTGTATCAGTAAATATGACTTCTGCAATACTAAATCTTTTGTGAACACGCGAAACTTTTAATTGATCGAAAGGAAAATAAATAAGTCAAAAGAAAAATCGTAAGCTCAAATATACACCTGTTGCTATAACCTCATGCAGAAGATCAGAGGTTATCAAACGATTTGTAAAAGCAGCTTAAAAATAATAGAGGTGAATTCAAATGTCGTCTGATATTAAGCAGACAGCTGTATTTGGTTTATGATTTCGTAAGAAACAAAATAACTAAAAGGAAATAATGAGTTTGGAAATAATTAAATAATGTTTGATTTATTTCGTATTTATTTCTTTTTAACATAATAATAATATTAACTTCTAAAAAATGCTCACAAAATTAAAAAAAAAAACGCAAAAAAATATTATTTTGTGTTTAAAAAGATGAATTGTAATTAAAATGTGTACTAAATTTCTGAATAAGAAAGATACATGTGATATTGTATTTGAAGAGTTAGTATAGATATCAACTGTCATTCAGCTAAAGCGCGAAAGTTAGTGTTTAAAAACCTATTGTGTTCATATGTTTTATATTTATGTCATTTAAATATGTTCATATGGGATTTATTTTTTCTTTCAGATAGCTCTTTAAATAAGATGGCTTATACCAGAGGTCGCCAAAGTGGTCTGTATAGACCCCCAGGGGTCTATTTAACAAAGGCTGGGGTCGATTTGAGTCAGGGGGTCGAATGGGGGTCTATCCGAATCGGAAGGGTAGATTGGGAGTCGAAGGAAAAACAGTTCTTAATACGCAAATCACACATACCCAATTGAGTATGTAAAATTTGTGAATTTTTTTATAATAGACTTAATATCAGTTTCTTTATAGAACATAAATTAATAAACGCATATTTATTCGAGTGAAACAAGTATTTGCGTACCACCGCGTGGCACGAACTTTGCACTTCTGATTTATAAGTCATATGCATATGTGCGCTTGTCCAACTGTCACGTGTGACGAGCTTTGACGTTACAAACGCAAATTTCATATGCAGTTTCAGCTATCTTTGCAAACTGTGAACAGTGTTGAATATTTGCAGTGTCATTATTAAAACTTTTATTGCTTTGGATAATTAAATGTTTCGACAAAACCATTCGTTTAGTTCAGATATCAATTTTAATTATCAATACATGTAAAAAAGTAGATAAGCATTAATAATATGGATTAGTACAGCCAGTGACAAAACTATAGCAACTTTAATATTAAACGTTTTTAATATTAAAACTTTACGAAATAGCTCAGCCATTTATGTTAACATTTCCAAGTTCCTATATGGTTGAAGCCAGTTTCAGGTACGTAAATTCAATCTTAACTAAGTACAGAAATAAATTAAATGTGGAGTTTAGAGAGGATTTAAGATTAAAATTGACCAATTTTGAACCCAATATAGCGAACCTTGCAAAAAACACCAGACGCACCCACCCATCTCATTGATTAAGAAGCAATAAATCTGTTGTTACTTATTATTTCTACTTATTTATAATTACTTATTATTTAATAAATATTAAGGTATTTAAATTTCAACATTAATATATTTTTCATAAAACTATTGTTACACAATGTACTATTACTTTAATAAATGTTTAAAATCATAAAATAAATGTACAAACACAGTATCTAATGGAGTTTTATTTTAAATAACAGAAAATTACTTTTATGGGGGTCGATGGAGATTTAGACAAATTATAAAGGGGTCGATGATCAAAAAAGTTTGACGACCCCTGGCTTATACTTTCTTTATAACAGAAACTTTAAAATAATTCGCTTTAAATCAAAGTTGAAAATAAGTTATATGATAATAACTTTGCTTATGTTATATTTGCAGATTTTAAAAGCATATAGCTCAGTTAAAAAAAATTCTGGCAGCCCAAATAATTTTTGTGTAGTCTTTTGGTGACATTTACACTTCTCCAATTTTTAGTAATTCTCCAATTTTTTTAAAAAATTTTTAAACTATTATAAATTGAAAACATTTTTAAAAATTAAAAATTGGATGTTACGGATGTAACGCAATATGTTACGTTCGTAACATAAGTTTTTACTTTTTAAGGAAAATTTTATTTCTATAAGTCAGTATAAATGACATCACGATTTATTTTCACAAAAATTATCTGAAATACTTGATTTTTTTTAAAACTGAGCTTTTTGCATTTAAAGTTTGAAAATACGATATTCGTAAATGATAGAATTACCCTATGGTTATGCTTAATAATCAATCTTGGCAATGTTTGAATGGAAATAATTTTTGTTTTTAATGTTTAACTTTTACGCATCGATCACGCAACATTTCTAAAAGAATTATAAAGTATAATTTTTGATAATGCAAGTAGCTGTTGTTAAGAAATCAAAATAAAACAAAGCACCATTATCTAATCTGCATGCTAACGAAGTTGAATTTCGTTTATTATGGTTCTTAAAATCCAAAAGTTAAACATTTAATTACTAGAAAAAAAATCACGTAATATTGAGATCTTCACAAAAAATGGAATGAATGAATAAAGACAACATGTTTCTGTATTTGCTACAATATTTCATAGGACATTTCATTCATTCAATCTTTCATTCATTGTTACAATTAAAATTTATTTATAAGAAAAATTGTACGGTATGTCTACATATCATAAAAAGATAAAGGTCGTCTTACTGTTTCACGCATTCTCATTGTATAGAAAAATCACATGATTTTAATCCGTTCTATACAAGAAGACATCAGTTTAAAATTAATGAAAGTTATAACGGTTCTAATCTATATACAGTAATATTTATTAATATACTATATAAATATTAGACTATTTTTACTATTATATTTATTTATCACCCTGTTTTAATATTATTTTCGATTACTATTACATTTTTATGTTTTGAATAGTAATTAAAATTAAAGACTTAGAATTAAAAGTTTCGTTTCAGTATCATAAAGTAATCGCATGATTAAACCTTGAGTAACATTTTATGATATGGATATTTAGTTTACGCTTTATTAAGCAATTAATAATTATGCTTCACTTTTAACTTTATGTAAAACTTTGTTCAATCGAAGTTTGCAATTAAAATAATGAATACAAAAGAACTATTACGAATTCTAAAACAATACTAAGAATTGATTTTCCGCACTGTTGCTTAATAATCTCTTTCGAAGAAAAATATTAAATTTTCACTGTAACCGAAAAGTAAATAAGAATTTAGAGAACAACTTTGTGGATGAAATTGCAATGTTAACTAATTCAAATTATCGGGTTTTAATTGTATTTCAATAAAATCAGAATCTAAATCTGAGGTACCAATTTTGTGTTAGTGCAAGCAAAAATTTATGGATATTTTTTTTTGATAATTTTAATTTTAATATAGCATTCTATTTATTGTCATTTGCTAGTACTATTAAATAATTATTTTGTTGGAATCATGCATTTAATTTTATAGACCGGAAAGTAACGTCGTTTCGGTGCATCTGATATTTGTTATCAAGATTTTATTTTTAATCAATAATGTATTCACCCTCGTTAGCAACAAAATTTCAATGCCGGATCGAAAACGGATTTTAAAAAAAATGAATTGGTTTTTAAGACTTACGAACATTTAATGCGCCGAAACGACATTACTTTCAGGTCCCACTAATGAATATATTTTTCAATGCATGTTTCAATGTGTGTATGTATGTATAATGCAAAACATTGCCAATCAACCTGCAATTTGAAGAAGAAGCATACTTTAAATATATGAATGTCCTTCGCCCTAACCTATTGGTCTCGCTTGAAAAGTTTATTTCTAAAAATTTGATAAATGCCTATTTCATTGACAGTGTGTAATACAGCTTTGCCATTTGCCCTTCATAGACAGAAAAAGAGAAAGTGATTTAATGAGTTAATAAAACAGGTTTACCTTGTTTGAAGTTGTAAAAACTCTCTCTAAAATCCTTTAAAGTGTTTTTCATATGTCCTAAACAACTCTATCGTATAAGTTTAGGTAAGTCGCTTTTCTTTTAAGTTGAGAAAGAGCAATCAAAAATTGTATTTTAGTTTGAATTACTTACTAAAATGCATCCTTTTTTTACCTGAATATAAAATATGCAGTATATAATTACTTAAACGGATACTTTTTAAAACGTTTTTAAATTATTCGTTGAATTAGCTATGAATAATATAAACAGTTGTGGTAAATAGGAAAACTCGCTTTTGTAATTATATATACTGTTTTTATCCATATAATATAATAATTTTTATATTATAATAGACTAATGATGTAGATTATAATATGGAGTAGCTATGTTTTAGTTTATGATTGTAATCAACACTATGCAAGGAGTCAAGAGAATATCCTTTTTGCCACCAGGAGAAATCTAATAAATTATATTTTGTATTTAAATGTAAATTTTTTTGTTTTAAATTATTAAAATTTTTCACATGTGACGATGAGATTTGTTATGTATTATACAGAAACGTAGCTAAGGCTTGCAGCGCCTGGAGATAACTCTGTTTTACCGCCCCTTTTGCATTATTTAGTGAGACTTATAAGATTTTCTGGAACACTTAAAAATAATTATGTAAAACCCACTGCAGTTGACATTGAATTGTTAAATTTTATTTAGAATAAGATTTTTCAACTTAAATAAAAAATTTTCAGAACAACACAACTTGAGAAATTATTGATTTAGTTTAAAATTTAACTACTAATGTAGTATATATTACTAAAATAAATAGTGACATATACATAATTTTGAGGTCTCTTAAATATTAGATTTCTACTCACATGCCCAAAATGCTTTCCCGTAAATCAATCTCTGAATGCCATAATTAACTAATATACTTGCATCCTACACGTTTTTCGAAGAAAAGAAAATTGCACACGTGTGTTAATATGAAACTAAATAGTAATGAAATTTAGAGGCTGGTTTTTTTTTTTTTTATCCGCGTACCATATTGAATTTAAGGAATTTAAATCAAGTATTATTTATTATCGTTTTTTTTTTCATTTTTAAAAATTTAAATGTTAATTTCAATTTTATGCAAGAAAAATAATTTTTTAAACACTTTGAACTGAATTTTGAAAGTCTTTTATGAGCATATTAAAAATGTTAAGTACAAAGAAAAATATTTTATACGATATTTTAAATATTTTTATTAAATATTTTCCTTGTTTCTCTGTTGTATTCATTAAGAACATATATGTGAGTGCTCGCCGCACTACCTTTAAAAATTTGAAGAAATCCTGTATGCATAATTTAATGTTTTGGTTCATTGTACAAATTGCAAAGTTGCTAAATATAACTCCATTTTTAAAGTTAAGTTTTGACTGAGTAAGTTTTGTAGGCTAAGTATTAATGCTACGTGCAAATATTTGAAAATTTGAAATTTGGTTCTAAGTATTAATTATTCAAATTTTATGAAACTTAAGTTTTTAGAAAATGATAAAATCTGATATGAAATGAAACATTAAAAACATCAATTGAAAAAACGAGATTTAAGAACATTAAATTTAGATCATAATCTAAATTTAATGACACAACATCGATTTTTCGACTCATTTTATCCCATTTTAAGCTACACGATGTATTAAAATGAAATAAACATATAATTTTTATTTATGACATTAACCAGCTGAAAGATGCACTTTATCAATTTATCTAAAGGAAAGATGGCGTAATAAAAAAAAAATTCTTTTGCTGTTTTAGAATTTTAAAACTATTTTTAAAGATTCTTTTACTTATCGGAAGTAGTAAGTAAAATATTTACATTAAATCACTCATCACTTTCTCATTTTCACTCATTATCTCCATTATATTTTATTAAACTCTTTATCCAATTTTCAATCACCTCAAATTTTATGAAACTCAAGCTTTTAAAAAATGTTACAATACGAGATGAAATGAAACATTGAAAGCATCAATTGAAAAAACGAGATTTAAGAACATTAATTTAAAACATAATCCAAATTTAATGACACAACATCGATTTTTTTACTCATTTTATTCCATTTGACACTACATGATGTATCAAAATGATACAAACATATAATTTTTATTTTTGACATTAACCAGCTGAAAGATACACTTTGTGAACATATGTAAGGGATAGTTGAAGCAATCAAAATCATTTCTTTTGCTGCTTTAGAATTCTAAATCAATTTTTATTGATTCTTTTTAGACTTTAACTTTAATTTTTCTTTCATAATTTGTTTTAATATACTTCCTGATTTCCTTTAGGCATTCATAAATCTATTTATTTCTCCTAACTTTACATATTTATTTGTATACGCAACTCATGTAATAAGAGTTATATGATGTCTACGATAGTATGGGTGTTCGTTTGATTCATTTTAATTTGCTAATTTATACTTTTTTGTTTACTTTACTTGGAATACGAATAAATTACTTGAGAAAAATTGCTTGAAACTGTGCGTTACATTTGTAAGCAGTGTAGCTAAAGAATTTAAAATTTTGTTTCAGAGATTATTTATTTCTAAATTTAATTATAGAATTTTCCGTACATTTAATGAATGGAAGCTTTAAAGTCTAAACATTTATCTATGTTTTTAATAATAGGAGGTAATTTATTTACTTCTCATTAGAACTGCACAATAGGCTATTGGAGACAGTCTGGGAAATATCCCTGAGGATGATCCGATGACATGCCATCGCCATTTTGATCCTCTGCAGAGGGGATGGCTCCTCTGCATTGGTAGCCAGACGACTAGGCGTGAAGTAGGGCTTTTTACGGTAAAACAGTTTAACGAGGACCGATACGGCAAACCTTAGGTCCCTATACAGGCTGATCAAAGTGGTCACCCACCCGCTTACTGACCGCAGCCAGTGAGGCTTGACTTCGGTGTTCTACTGAGAATAGAGTCTATACGATCAGTCCACTGCGGAACGTTTTTAATAATAGAAAGGATAATTTTGAATAAATATCTAAAAATTAATTAATTAAACTTTCTCAGATAAATTAATTTTCGAAGAATTTTTTATTCGATGGGATAGAAAAGACCCTGATTGAGCAAGAAAGAAAGAAAATACAAAAATACATGATGCAGACGAAATGAGTACAAGTAGTTTTGTAAGTGTTTCTACTGTAATGTGACATGTTGATAGTATTTTAAAACTTTTAATATGAAACCTAAAAGTTAAGACAGATGTTTCTAAGGCAGTATAAAGTAAATTATTGTTGTTAATTTACATGCAATCCCCAAAAATTTTTTACTGTGCCATTTAATGTCATTTTTTATCATTTACAGGCTCCAATTCATCATGTATAAATTACTTGTTTTATTTTCGGTAAGTGTTTTCTCGCTTTTAATATCTATTAGTTGCTTAAATGAAACATAGTCTCCTGCAACAAAAGAAAGTAAACAAAAAACAACAAAAAAAGTGGAGATAGGTCACATTGACCGGCTATTCTGATTTTCTATTTTCTACTTTCAGATTCATAAATATTAATACGAAATAATTATAGAAATTTTTATTTTTTATTTTTACTCCTTTCGGATTACATGGATGTTCTTTATTATCCTTTGAGTATGATATCTTAAATTTTATTATTTTTACGTTCAACTTTAAAAAATAAAGTAAAATACCATTTACTAACCTTTATGAGAAAATAAATATGATTTTGCAAATTCGCAGCAATTCAGCTATAAACTTAAACAAGTTTTTCTCAAAGCCAGTTTAATTTTAAATCATTTTAAATGCGAAAAAATTTAACAGCAATTTTTTTTTCCTTGAACACAAAATCAATTTTTCTAAAATTTGTTCATTTATTAGAAAATTGAAGTAAATTTCTTATTCCACTTTCTAAATTTCTTATTTATTTTTTTAAAATCTTTGTTATAATTCATTTTCTATATTACTTTTTATTTTTATTTTCAGATGCTTGGCTTAATGCTGGCTGAAAAACGTGAGTAACTTAATTCCAATGATACAACGAAATTTTCGTTACATATTTTCAGTATTATTTAAAATATATTAATCTTTCTTTCCTTTTTTTTATACAGAATTAAGAGTAACACATTGCTTACATTTTCAATGTACAGTTGTTGAACAAAATAATGGAAACACTTCTATACTAACATATTGCTTAATTTTTCTCAAATACTAAGAGAATCATCTTAAACATTTAAAAGTGTTAAGGTTATACGATTCTTCATAATTATCAATGAAATTTAAAGTTTTAGCTGAGAGCTAAGAGGTTAGAGGGACCGATAACAAATTACAAACGGAAATTAAGTAATGTTTTTGAACACTCTATGCCAAAAAATATAGTACAAAAAATATAGTAGGATTCCTCCTGAGTACGTTCCTTAGCAAACCTTAACAAGTAGTTCTGCCAAGTAAGACTTCCACAATCCTCAATTATATTCCAAAACGGCCCAAAACCAACCAATTCGAGAGAACTGCTCGATTTAGAAGTCGGTAGATAAAAAAAATCAATTTACTTATGTTTTCTATTGATTTTTTACACATAAATTTTAGAAAAAAAGGCAGTCTTTGGCTAAATTTGAAACACCTGAAATTATTATATAAGTCATTAGCAATAACTGCAAAAGTACTTTCTATAATTCGTAGAAATTACTAGTTCTTTTGGTCGGGATAGTCTGGTTACCAGGGTGCTGGACTCACGTTAATTCTGTCGGGTTGCAAAGTCCTCCATGTTCCTATAAGAAATCAAACCTCTGGGGGTACTGATTTGGAGATTAATCGTTCACTGGATTGGGGCAAAATTACGATCTGTGGATGAATGAACGGGTCCGCCCTTTAAACGGGTGCGACGTATGGGTGTGGTAGGAGTCGAATTCTTGGACATAGATGGCTCCGCCGCAAAACAAGAACAATCCCCCCTGCCTTAATGGCCGATAACAACAACAACAACTAGTTCTTTTTTTTAATCTATGCTCCATTTTAATAGTTTTTCATTAATTTATCCAAAATGTAGCTAAGAAAACTGATTGTGAAGAGCACCGTGAGAGAGAACAGAAAAGCAATGCACCTTTACCTATGCGGTTGATCCCAGAATGCGACAGCAAAGGTGATTACAAGCCTCTACAGTGTTTTCAAAACAGCAAGTTTTGCTCTTGTTGGGATAAAACAGGAAATCCACTCACTCAACCATCTGGTAAAATAAAGGCATGCGACTGTTTAGTAAAGCAAAAGGAAGCCAAACCAGGTATGTTTGAGTCCCAGCAATTGAATTGAAAATTATATTGGGTGTTCTCGAATGACCACCTTTAATATGTATTTTTAGAGTCATTAATGGAAATGAAATTAAACAAAAGTATGCAAATTAATATCTAAATGAGATTAAAGCAAAAACAATATTGAAATATAACAAGCCATTATTGAGGAAAGCATAATTGAAGAAGTCAAAATATTTTTGATTATCGGGGAAAACAGTGAGGAATTAAAAAGCAATTGTAACTAAACTGGTATTAATATTTTTTATTTAACTTTCTTCACTCATGATTCGAAACAGTTTTCGAATTTGCATTTATGTTATGTTGCATTTATGTTTCTTTGCATTTATGCTTTTTTTTTACGCATTAACTTAACTTTTTGACTTCTAAAATGCATATATATTTTCTAACATTTACTTTTAACCAAGATTGTAAAAATATATATAAAGGGTGATGATTATAGAACACTCTGCATTGCAACCTTTTTTTAAATATTCTAAGCAACTATTGAATTGGTGAAGTGAACTATAAATAACTTCGTTATAATTTTCCTTTATTTGGAAGAGTAACAAAAGGAAAATTTAGACTTTTAGCTGTTAGTTAAGAAATTATGAAGAATACGAGATGAACCAAATAAAGAATCTGTCCCGGTAGAAGAATTAAGTACTGAATCTGCAGCACTATCCAGATATGTCAGAGACATCAACGTAGTCAGACATAGATAATCGTTGTAAAATTTCAGCTCAATCTAACATGTCGTCAAATTTGTAAATGCAGGGTTCTAAAAAAATTATGTGTAAAAACATGTTAAATTAGAGTTGAGTTTTATGCAATGACAATAATATTGGAAAAATGGAATAAATCCTTATGCAGTTAACCCATATTCAAATAACAGACAAGAATCTTTATCCTTTGTTCTTAGCAGTCTTCTCTGAACTCCACTATTTAAATTAAATTAGAACCTAGTTTAGAGAGATCTTAAAAAGGTGTCTCAGTGATTTTCCGCCATTTCTAAGGTTGCTAAATAATCTGCAGATTCTGTAACTATCTGCATCGCCGTCTGCCGTTCTTTTGGATTTCTGCTACTGGTTTTCCTTATAGTTAATGATATTATAGGATGAACCTCAATTACCTTCCTATTTTAATGAACAAAGGCACCTTGTAATAAATATTAAAAAAGTTAGATTAATTTTGTTGCTTATACCAGTTTTTGTAAACAGATGAACAAATAAAATTCTCTTTCTTTCGTTGATTGCTATTATCTACTAGCAATTCGCATATGTTTTGTGAGTTTTTTGATGACTATGGAACACGAATTTGTCTTTTTTTTTCACAGTTCGGTGAAGACATCTAAGTTTAACTTGCATTCGCTCGGATAATTTAGAGTACTCTTGATTAGAATATTTTACGCGTAATATTGTTTGAATATCTCTTTTGCAGATAAAAACTGCATCATAAAAATTTTATTTGCTGCTGAAACATATACAAGAAGTAATACTTAGCTATCGCTCTTAGTATTATCCTATAATAAACTATCTTTTTATTTACTATCTTATTAACTGACCTATTATTGCGCGTCAAAATTGCAAACGTAATTTTCGTTAGAAATGTATCTTTAACAGTTATTTACTTGATTTTAATTATTTTGAGATTTATTTATAATTTCTTTCTTTTAAAATTTAAAAAAATTAAGAATCAAATAGAAATTTTTTTTAAAGCATAACTTTTTGCGCAGTCAGTTGCAAATTGAATATTGTAAAGATAAAGTAAGCGACGACATTGTTGGCGATGTCTCAGAAACTTCAGCTTTATTTTACTGCATGCCAGTTGTTTGAAGTGAACAACCATTTTTGTGAAGAAAAGAAATTCTTTCGGGGAAAAAAAAATCGTTTGCACTTTTTTTAAAAATTACAGTCTTAAATTCTAATTATAATTTTACATTTATTATTTCTTCAAGGATTACTCGGTGCTTTCAAAGCTCAATGTGAAGAAGATGGAAAATTTAAGAAAGAACAGTGTCATGGTTCAACAGGACATTGTTGGTGTGTTGATCCCCTTACAGGTGAAAAGAAAACAGAGCCTAAAAGAGGAAAAGCAAACTGCTGATAAAAAAAGAAAGAAAAAAAACTGTTTGCCTTGGCCATTGTTGTGTTATTCTATATTTATTAAAACATAATCAGTACGCAGTGTTGAACTTTTAAATTTAAAATTCCTTGGTTTGTTATATCTCAGACAAAATGTGTCTTCTCATTAAAGTAATTTAATAAAATTAGCCTTTGTGTTTATTTTCCTATTGTAAATTAATGGTGAGTATTTTCTGAACACCACCAGCGATACTTAATTTTGAAATCGTCGCAAATATTTTTTGAATTAATCCATAGAATTCTTTTCAAATCAAAGTACGTGTTAAGAAATCCCAAAAAAGTTATCGAAATCCTACAAATCATTGTCAAGTAGTGATAGTACTTAAATGTTTGAAAGCGTGTTTGTTTCTCGTTTGAATTTAAAAATTGTTTCTTTTAATTTCTATTTTAATTTCTATTAAGTACGGCTAAACTACTTGTGGAAAACATTAAAAAAAACATTCCGTAAAAGAAATACATCTATGAGGGTGATTTCAGTTTAAGCCTTAAAATTCTAACTATTTCATTCGGAAAATTTTTAAAGTTTAAAAAGTGTATAATTAAAAACATTTCTTCTTACATTAAATCTGAGTTAAATATCATTTTCAAATTTGAATAGCAGTTAATTTAAGTAAAAACTTCACATTATTTCTTAATGTTCTGTGACGTGGCCTCTTGGATACAAATGCGACTTGGATAAAAAAGCTACGAGAAAAGTTTTCAAATAAAAATCATTGGTAAAAAATATGCGGTGCAAAATAATTATAAAAAATAACTAATTACTTACAATATGTTTTCAAAATTAAAAAGATTTCAATTGATCTATTTGAATGAGAGTTTTCTGATTTTATATTCCATCTTAATTAGCTAAAAAATAATTTCATCAGAATGTTTGACTCCTACCCTTTAATTTTGAAAATCTCTAAGCTATAACAATGAAAGTAATTTTTAAATGTCAGCAGCATTAATAGTAATAATTATCTCTCCAAAGTAAAGGTTTCTAGTAGAGCATGCTAGGTAAGAATTTGCTGATTTTTAATTCTGATTCGATTGGATACCTGCTAGTGACGTCATCGTAGGTAAATCGTGGCCATAGTATTGGCGATGATTTCTGTTTATCTACAAATGCTTTAATCGTGGCATTTGTCTAAAAACAGAAGCCTATCAGGTACGACACACCTGCGTGACGTAACTTACAGGTATCCAATTAAATCTAATTTAAATCACATTGTTTGGGATAATTATTTCTTGTTGCAAATAGCCAATTATAATATTAACAATAAAGTCATTCGAATGATTGAGTTTCACGTTCTCAAATAAACCCTGCTAATGTGGCGTAACTACCACTATGAATATTAAATACCAAATCACTACTATATAAGACACGCTAACTTGATTCTATCAGGTGGTACCTTTTGATAGATGAAGGTTGACATAGTCGATAATTTTAATTCCCCACATTGGTGACCCGGACGTGATATGAGCTTGCTAACATGACGGATGGTCTGCATTAAACAGTTGATTTGCTTAAAAAAATAAAATAAGCTGCTCAAAGAAAAGAAGGAAAAAAATCCGGTGAAGCAAATAAAGTCTCCCGGTAATAAACAAAAAAAAAAAAAGAAAAAAATGTTAGCAAAATGCTACAAAAAAAGAAAAAAAATAATAATGAGCGAAATGCTATTAAAAAATGATGAGCAGAAAATAATATAAATAAAATTTAAAAAAAAAATAAAAAAAAAAATACAGCATGAATTAACTAATGGTAATCGTTCATCGAATTCTGGAAGGGGAGTAATGTGGCGTAACTACCACTATAAATATTAAATACCAAATCACTACTATATAAGACATGTTAACTTAATTCTATCAGGAGGTACCTTTTGATAGATGAAGGTTGATATAGTCGATAATTTTAATTCCCCACACTACAAAAATATCTAGTGACTTATTGAACTTCTATACGATGATTCGCCTCTTCAAAATGAGAAGATATTTGAAACTTTCAAATTTTTCAAGAGTTATTTAAAAATTGAGTGATCATGCATGTCAACAATTAGTTAAAAATTGTCATTAGAATGTTTAATGACCAGCATCTCGTTGCTCCATCTCTCTGCACTCATTTAAATTGCTGGTCCGAAACCAATTCNTAAGACGTGTTAACTTGATTCTATCAGGAGGTACCTTTTGATAGATGAAGGTTGACATAGTCGATAATTTTAATTCCCCGCACTACAAAAATATCTTGTGACTTATTGAACTTCTATACGATGATTCGCCAGTTCAAAATGAGAAGATATTTGAAACTTTCAGATTTTTCAAGAGTAATTTAAAAATTGAGTGATCATGCATGTCAACAATTAGTTAAAAATTGTCATTAGAATGTTTAATGACCATTTTTTCCTATAAAACTTGGTGCAAAAATATTTATCGATACAAAATAGTTAAAAAAAAAAAATAATTACTTAACTGTCTATACGATAAATGTCACAATTTCCATATAAGTTCTGTTAACAGGAGTTTTCGGATTTTTTGAAAATGTGATTGACGTAAAATTTTGCAACGTAAAATAATAAAAAACAACTGTACATTGCATAAAATTTGTCATTAAAACATTACTGACTGGAATTTTGGCAATTATTGTCTGATTTTTTGTTAATCTATAATAATGATTTTAAATTACATTATGCCCTTAATTTAATAGATTTTCTAAGCGAGGAAAAGTATTTAAAAATTATCCGATTGGGCACTTGCAACTCGAGAAAAAGAATACGTGTTTACATGGCTGGGCCAGCCATGTGATTTAAATCACATGGTTGGGCCTAATCTCGTAGTTGTGCTTGGTGCTTGGCACGTTACAGATACCGCAATTATAGGCTTGGTTTCTATTTTACTAAATCTTATTTGGTCTGTATTTAATTGGATACCTGTAATCAACGCCCCGCGTGAGTGCCAAACCTGATTGACTTCTAAATTTGGGAAAACGAAAATGCTACGATTTACCCACGATGACGTCACCGGCAGGTATCTACATCTCCAAAGCATGAATTATGTCTTTCAAGTAACGAAGAAGTTTTTTTGACAAAATTTTCTTAACAAAAGTTTCATTAGAATGTTTGACACCAATTTTTTCGAATAAATTTAGTTACAGAAAAATTTTGAGTCAAAAAATGTATAAAGTTTAAAGTAGTTGTAGTACTTTATTCACATCGTACTGGAGCTGCGCAATAGACTATTAGTTATGGTAATGGAAACATCGCTGAGAATGATTCGAAGACGTGCCATCATAATTTATGTCCTTTTCAGAGAGAAGGCTCTTCTTTGGTAGCTCAACGAGCTGCTCACGAAGTTGATCACTTAACAGTAAAACAGTTTAACGAGGATCGATGTCCTTTACCTTACCTTCGATTCCTTCCCAGGCTGCTCAAAGAGGCTCCCTAGCCACTTACTGATCGCAGGCAGAGAGGCTTGACTTCGGTGATCTACTCATAGTTTACTCAGAAAAATATTTAAAAAATCATTTAATTATTCCATGGGTGATCATGATCTTCAATATGACAGACCACTAACTGATCAATTTATTTCTATTGTCTAATTTTTAAAAAAAATTTTACTATATAAACTGAAATGTTCGACGGCTGTTATTTTAGATAAAGCTTTTTTTTTTTTAAAGAAATTTAGAAAAGCAAAATAATCAAAAGTTATCAAACTGCCTAGTATCACCCTTTACGCAAAAAAATTATGTAAACGAATGTGGAGATGTGATTGAGAACCAGATAATAATTGGGCAATCCCACCACTCGGAACTTTTGAAGAACCCAGCTCTCGAGAGTGGCGAAATTACTTCCTTCTCTATTTGCTATAAGTGAACGATTTTGTGTAGAATATAAATGTTTAAAAAACAGAATTTTTATTTTAATGCTAAATGTTTTCGAACGCTGCTCCGATAATATTTATTTTGTCACTTCTTCGACAAAATTAAAATTCATATAAAATATGCATTTAATAATTGAGCATTCGATTGATACATTTTAAGTTGGGCTATCAAACCACATTTACTATGAACGTTACCTAAATTTGTAAAAATTGTGAATTATAGTTAATTATTCTATAAGATTTAAAATTTTTATTGTAGTTAATTTTCTGATAAAAATTAAAAATTATAAAAAAATTATTATTAAATAAAGAAAAATGATAAACTAATTGTAATAATTAACTGTTATACGTCTCAAAAATTGAAAAAATCTAGAGTGTGAGCTCCAAAAGCTCCTAATATGTAGATAGGTACCAGGGACACACCCGTTAGGAAGATTCGAAGACTTACCATCACAATTTTGATTTTCTGCAGAGGGAATCTCATTCGAAATGGTTCTTCATTAATTTAGATACATATCTGAAGGGGGAAGAAATTTCTCTAGATCTCTGAACTCATGATACTGCACAGCGATCGACCATAGGACTTATGATTCCACAGATTTTACGAGTGCGTATATCAGATGTGCACGTTAAGTTTTAGAGGAGTCGAAGCCTGAACCTCGGCCTCTCCTGACTGGAGCCTGATTCTCTGACCACTGAGCTTTAATTTCCCCGAAAGCTTCCAAACTGAATCAATGAAATCAATCGACAAAATTGCTAATCACGCTCTCGCCCGCATTTCCGAATTCGCATACGCAATCTTTTGCATTCAGTGAAAATGATTCCGAAGCATGACGTATAGCTGAATGTGGCTGTTGGCGTATCATTAAGATTTAGAAATTTTGAGTGGCAATGATATGTTTTTTTAGAATTTCGATTCGATGATATCGATATGCTGTAGGCTGAAGTTTTTCTTTCTAAAATATACGTAATTTTTAATGATTGTATGAATGCCGAATTGTGTTTTTTTGACAACGCATTTTCTCACTCTTAATAAATATTTGTAATTTTTCACTTTTCCTCTAGCTTATAAACTTTTGAAACTATTATAGTTATTTCAGATCTAGACTGTCAGAGACGTCAGATAAACAAATATACTTTAAAAGGACGTGGCAGTGATGTTCTGTAGTTTTTGAAAAGGATATATTGTTTACTTTAAGGGTTTATTTAACATAATAATAAAATGGGACTTACAATTTCTAGTATTTTTACTCGCCTTTTTGGAAAAAAGCAAGTCAGAATTTTGATGGGTAAGTAACTATGTTTGGTGCTAATATAAGATATGTTTATTTCTTGGGCGGCGGTTCATGGAAAAAAAATTGTGAGAGTTATTAAAGAGATGAAGGAATAAAAGCTATAAATGTTTTAACATATGCTGAAATTTAAAAAAAGTAACCTTTGACTTTTAATTTGCATCAAACTTCCTCAGGAAAAATAAGGAGTACTTAGGAAACTTCGTTTTACTTAGAATTGAAAAGAATATAAACAGGTTAAATATAATTGGTAGAGCATATAAATATGTCTAACAGATTTTCCAAACCAGTTTTCTGTTGAATTACCAATTTAATGACGCAAGTAATATTTTATAACAAAAAGTATACCAAGACTGATTTTGACACTCCAGTTAATAACAATATAATAATATATTTACTATGCTAAATTTGGAGAACTTTTAGGTAATTATTAAAAATTGTTTTAACTGAAATTTTTTTTAAATATTTTTATTCAAACTTAGTTTATAATTTTCTTTTGTTTCAAATTTTTTTTTATATATTATATATATAAATTTTTTTTTATTTTTAGTTGGTCTTGATGCAGCTGGCAAAACAACAATCTTGTATAAGTTGAAATTGGGAGAGATAGTTACAACAATTCCTACAATAGGTAAGAATGTAAATCTTTATTTACAACAATTCCTACAATAGGTAAGCATGTAAATCTTTATTATCTTTATCCTAAAAACTATATAATTTCATTTAGTGAATCCTCAAGACTTAGAAATTTATTGGTGCTTAGCACCCTGAATTTCTAGGTCCCTTGCTATTAAAAATATGAATTTGTTACCTCTTTATTCATCTGTTAATATGCACATTCATAATTATTCTATCTATTGATAGAAAAAGCAAAGAATTTCAAAACAAGAGATATTTAAACTATTAAGACGTTAGTACAGCTCAAATAACTTCAAGGAAAAACAATGATTTAATTATTTAAATTTTCACATTTTACTACTAAAGAAGGAAAAGAATTTTTACTACACATATTTCAAGTTTAGTTACAATTATGCATTGAAAAAGTTATTTTTTGTCCCTTTTTAGATTTGTGCTGTATTTGAAACTCTATAGCAGCGGTTCCCAATTTTTTTTTGGTTGTGGAATTGATCTGCAACCACTTTCCAGTGGAACCCTGACTTAAGAACTGAAGTAAATGAAGAAAAATCTGAATATATATTAGCTGTCAAAACTCTATTTAAACTTTTAGATTTTTAATATTTAAAAAGAGGAAGGAAAATGTGAAATCGTTTTATCATTAATAATCTTAAATTGTGTTTTATTTTCAACAGTTGGATTTTTTTTCTTAGAGCTAAATCTAGCAAAATTTTTTTTTTTTGTACTGTTATAAAATGAAAAATAAAAATAAGTGCTATAATATGGAAAATGGTTATTTTGGAAATATATTTCTTTATTAGTGAATTCAGTTTTACTTTGATTTGAAGAGCGGAATGTTATATACTATTCCATTTTTTTATAAATATGTGTTCTTTTCATGATTATATCTATAGATATTTTAACAAAAGGCAATTTCCTTATTGTTGGCGTTTTATTTTAAATAATTTTGTAAACATGATCGATGTAAGTAAATGATGCATTATTGGTTATTATAATATAATTACAGATTTCAAAAGGGTTTAAAAACTATTTGAAAATAGTCTTAGAACCCCTTTAACTCTCCGACAGAACCCTAGGGTTCCGCAGAACACCATTTGGGAACTTCTGCTCTATTGCCTATAAGTGGAATCGTTGTTTATTAGTGTTATTATTATATATTCTATAACTACTTTAATGTGTATTTATTTTATTTAGGGTTTAATGTGGAGACTGTTGAATATAAGAATATTTGTTTCACTGTTTGGGATGTTGGTGGACAAGATAAAATAAGACCATTATGGAGACATTATTTTCAGAATACGGAGGTAAGTATTGATCTGGAATTTAAACTGTTGTCTTTATATTAATGCATTCAATTATTGCTTATGATTTGTTCAATCAGTATTTTCTTAGATGAAATGAAGTTCTAGCTATTTACTTCAATGTAGTATTCAAATTATTCCACTAAATACATCAATCTTTTATCATTAAAAATGTAAAGTTACGAGCAGGAAAAAAATTCTTACTTTGTTTAACAGGGATGAGATTTTTCCGCTTTTTAGCGGATTTCCGCTTTTTTTACTTTTGTGTCTCGAATATCCCCCTTTTTATCAAAAACTCCGATTATCTAAAAGTTTCTCTTTTTTAAAAAAAATTATTTTAAATAAAGATTTTGCTTTTTCGAAAAATTTAGCCGCTGAAATAGAAGAATTATATTTATTTCCGATTTTCAAAGATGAACAGAAAATTCAACCTACATATCTGTCAATTCTTCCACATTTTTACATTTTAGCTGTTTTCGCCGCTTTTACACACAGAAGATACGATTTTCCTCATTTTTATCCGCCCGCCAGATAGTTCGTATTTTCGTACTTCAAGCTTTTTAAAAGTCTCAAGCCCAGAATTTGCTAACATTTCGATTCTTATTCACTCGATTTGAATATACTACAATATGGTTCTTATTTACGAGATTTAAAAATCCAATATCACTATTTGTATTTACACGTTTTTAAAAACCTATGTAATGATTCGTATTCACACGAGTTTAAAATCAATTATCGCGATTCTTGTAAGAAGTAGGTTTTTTTTAAATTAGTTACTATAAATGTGACTGTTTTTCAATCAACAATTATTAGCATATATAGGCATATTCAAAACTTACATTCTGTGCTTGCAAAGAAGAATGTGACAAAGGCAGGTAAAGAAAGAAAAAATAGGATTTGTGAAAAGATGTTTGAAGATGGGCTAACAACTAAATTAATCACCAATCTGTTTCCCCTCATTCACAAGCTGCATTATGAGAAATTTGACCTTGTTAAAAGATTTTTTACTGGTTTTGTAAAACATGAAGCATTTGCAGCAAATTAAGCAAAAAAAGATATAGCAAACAAAAGCAATCACTTAAAAAATTATTCAATTTTTTGCGGAAAAAGTTTTTTTAACTCAGCACCAAAATTTAAGAAATAATGCTGCTGTTATTTATGATATAAAATGCGAAATTCTTATCATATGAAAAATAATTATCTAAACAGTTGCTGACTACCATGAAATTTTTTCAAACTAAAATAGCAATTTTTGTTGTTTGTTATCTTAAATTGTCAGGAATTTATTATTAAACGATTGTACACGCGTAAAATTTACTCACGTGGAAATAACGCTTTTTTGCCTTTTGGCCAATCTCATCCCTGTGTTTAATTAAAGATATACTATAAAAATTTAATTTTTTTAATATGATACCCCAAAATAGCATGTTTGAGTAATTTTTGTTGTGTAAGTTTGTTTAAATGTAACTGATAAATTTAAAGTAAAAGTAAAATATGTTATGTTTTCTTATTTTAGAGCTTAGGTTTTTATTATTTGTTTAGGTTTTACACGTTATCAATTTTTTATTTTATTTAAGTCTTAATTAAATCATAAATTTTGCTTTTTTTTGTATTTCTTTAACTTGTTATTTTCAACTATTGCTGTAAAAAGATCATTTGAATAATGAAAATATCTGAGAACAAATTATTTTCTCTTCAACAGCAATTGAACCTGAATTTTTTTGTCGATACCTTGCCTTACCTTGCCTTTTTCCTTTCTTTCCTGTGTAACCTCTTTGTGATTGATCAACAAATGGTTAACATGTTAGTTATTATCAATACCCATATTTAAAAATGAATTTTGAATTTGTATGAAATAAACTTATTTTACAGTAAAGTTAATAGTAGTTTAACAAAATTTTAATTTTCATTAACTTACATGCAATTATTAAAAAATAGCTTTCAGCTAACTATACAGTCTGCCACATCATATTGTTCTAATCTTTGACAAACATAATTTATTTTTGGAGTATATCTATTTTTTTAAGATTGTAAGATTTTTAGTAAGTTTCTGTGAATGAATTTGACTATGCAAAATTTTAATGTTAAAATTATTTTTGATTAATTTATTTATTTGTCCTATTAATTTATTTTTAATGTATATTTTATAATTTATTTTTAGGGCCTAATATTTGTTGTGGATAGTAATGATAGAGACAGAATAGCTGAAGCACAGGATGAACTGTCTAAAATGGTATTTTTTCCATTTGTATCTTTAAATTGTGTGATTTATATCTTATTTCTTTTTATAAAGTTATAAAGGCTTTTTGAATATCAGATTAGTTTATTTATCTGTGTATTTTAAATTTTGTTTTATTTAAAATTTATGATTTGTATATGGACATTTTTGAATTGCTCCATTTGTGCTTATCTAATGTAATTAAGGTTACATAAGCTGCAGATGGGTAAAGTATTTATGAATTTTTATTGATGCGTGATACATATTCCTATTTTTAAGTATTAATCATTATAATGCATTTGAATTTATTTATATTTGCTAGGCTTGGTAAAGTTTTGGACTCGCTTCCTCTTCATAATTCTTTGGTCGAAAACTATCTTTTGCCCAAAATTATTTTGTCAATTATTTAGAACTTTTTTTTTTCACAGCTAGATTTTGTGGAAATATAAGTTAAGAAAAGATAAATAAATTACAAGTAAATAACTAAATTCAGTAGCTAAATTATAGGCAAATGTGGATATCTATACTTTTAAAATAAATTAAATTAATAAAAAATGATTAAAAAAGATTAATCACTTTTGTCTTTAACTCTTAATTAATTTTATCAGTAATTTTATGTGACTAATGCTAGATTTAATTGGAGTATGTATGACTAACAACTTTTATTTAATTTTAGCCTTTTTTTTGGCTTTTTAAAAAGCTTAAGTGCAGGATTTTAATGTTTTAGGATGATTTTTTCTCTCTCTACGAATGTAGAAAATCAACAAAAAGTGGAAATTTGGGACAGTTTTTACCCCCCTGTTGGAGAGCTATGAAAATTTCTTTTTGTTATAATTTTTATCTAAGAATTTATGTAGGACAATTATGATTGTTATAGTTTGCATTTGAATAAAACAAAAATTAAATGTTTTGTGGTAATCATAATTACTCTATCTGAATGTCAATAAGAAATCCTAATGTTCTTGCTAATTACTTATTCAAATAGAAATTGGAAAAACTCTCAAATATGAATTGCACCAAATGCCTAGCTCATGGAACATTTTCTGGTTCAAATAAGTTATGAAACTAAAAAGTTATTCTACATTAAGTGCCAAATTGAACGTATGTGCTAGTTGAAAATTAACTCTGAGCTATTAAAAAGTCAAAAAGAAACTTTATGTTGACGTTTGCAGCTTATATATATAATATGTTGTAAGGTTTGCCACCACTAGATGGCGCTGCGAGATATGAACAAAACTTAAGAATTAATTAAAAAAAAAGAATCTCTCTTCTTTGAGTGTAGTGTAAAAAGGATTAGTATGTGGGAGGAAGGAGCGAAGCGCTTTTTGACGATGTGATTTGTAAATATTTCTATATACTTAATTTTATGTTTGTGATGTGGCATAGTAGGTGTTTAAATAAATTCGTTTTATGCCAAGAAAAGTTTAGTGTGAAAATCATTTCACATTATGAAAATTTGAAAAAGAACCTGCAAGTTTTAGTTATGTAAAAGCATATTTTTGACTTTTTAAACTGGAACCAGGGGGACCACAAAACAGGGAAAAGTTGGGTTAATCTGGCAGTTGTCATAAATAGACTACTCAACCCTAAATAGTTAAGAAATTAGCAAAAAGATTATAGTTTGTAGAAAATATAGGTAGTAAATATAGAATTTTTTGCTGGTTTTATAACCAATATAAAAATATATAATTCTAAAAATTACCTATTTATGTTTAATGATTTAAAACATACCACTTAAGTTAGATGATGAAATTTTTAGCTGTCTAAAGCTTTACTTTATTTTTAAATATTTTCATTAATATTTTTTTTCATGCTTGTATGTTTTAGAAACATTTTCACATCATTGGTTATTTCTAAATTATAAATGTGTTATAATTATTTGTGTTAATATTGTTTTACTTTATTTATATGTTTTAATTTTTTGATTAAGACAGAAATAGATTTTTTTAATTCCCAAGATAGTTAATGTTATAAAAAGTTTTTTTAAATTTATAATGCTTGAAAATATGTTTATCTGAATTTTGCTGTTTCTAATTTTTATATTTATTTATTAATTTTTTACCTTTCACTTGTTTATATATTTCACTGAAGCAGTTTCTGCTTTGTTCTTAATAAAATTAAGGATTTTTTGTTGAAAGATTTTTTGTGAAAGAAGTGTTAAATCATTAGTCACTCTTTTTATTTTCACCATTGTTCTACGTTAGACAAGAACTTGCTAAATCTTCTTTTCAAAAATAAGTGATAAAATAAAAAGTATCAGCATTTTTTTCAAGTTCAAACCACTAATCAAAGCAAAATAGGTTTTATCTGATTTAACCAAACATTTAAAATTTTTATAGTCATATTTATGTGCTTTTGTTTTGAGGAGATTTTGTTTAGACAATTATGCAGCTATAGGCTAATTTTAATATTTTTAAAGTCTTTAATAAACATTTTTATATTGCACAAAGAAAAGAGAAAAAATCAGAGATTCAAAAGTTTAAAGCTATAACAATTGCTCATTGTATTTTATGAATTTTTTTGTGCAAATTAGTTTGATTATTAAATTTAATGCTCAGCATATTCAGGTATAATTTGTAACAGAATCTTGCATTTGATGTTCTAAATAACCCAGTAAGTTTTCAGAGGTAACCCAGCATATTTATTTGTAACTTTCACTGAATACTTGATAAAAATCAAAATATTTGAAATGAAGTAAAGTAAGCGAAGCTTTTTCAAATCTTGCCCCTAATTTTAAGATTTTTTCCGGTGTGTATAGATGATTTTAGTTTTTCTTACAAAGTGACTTATTCTATCGAAATACTTACAGAAAAAATTCATTTCAATTCTTTATTTTAACAATAACAAATTAAAAAAAATATTTTTTCTGTTTTAAAATTTTCAAAAAATTATTATACCTGGATCTATAAGGTTCATATGTTTTTATTTAATTTTTTTATATTTTGAAATGTTTTATTATTATTATTTAAAGTACACATATTTTCCACCTATAGCTGAAAGAGGATGAACTTTCTGAAGCTGTGTTACTTATCTTCGCAAATAAACAAGATTTACCCAATGCAATGTCTGCTGGTGAACTCACTGAAAAACTAGGTCTTAATTCACTTAGAAATCGAAGAGTAAGCTTCTTAATTATTTTTTTACTTAACAAAGACTCTTGCTTTTTTGTTTTAGTTAAAAATATTTATACAGAATCTATTTCTGTTATATTGTTTAAAATTAATTTTACTGTATCAGAGAATAACTATTTAATTTTTGATTTGTTTTTCAGAAAGCTGTTTTTAAGAGGCTTAATAACTACTTGCATATTTTATGGTTATAATTTCAGATATTTTGTTTTGCGATTGTAAAACTTTTTATTTATACCATAAACTTTATTAAATGTTAAAAGTTTTTGAGTGATATAATTATACAAAATTTGTTTTATTCTTGAAATAGCTTACATAGCAAGCCTACAAGCCTTCATAATTTTTATTATTATTATTTATTCTATTATAATTTTTTTAAGCTCTAGTGGCATAATAGTTAATTTCTCCTTGAACAATTATTATTTATATAAATGGAAGAAATTTTTTTTCAAGGGAGGATGATCAGTGAATGATTCTTTAAATCAGTAACTTTCACATAGTTTATTAAAAATGGTGGAAAATTATTTTAATCGTTAAATTAATAATTAATCATTTTATTAAAAATTGTGGTAAAAGTTACCTCTTGTACTAAATTATTGAATAATTATAAAATGAGAATTCAGAGTGTGGTGTAAAAAATAAATTTCTATCTTAGGAATTCGTGCTTTACTAAGCCTTATTTACAATCATACATATTAATGTATTTATACATAGTCATTATCATAAAGTGAATTCTTTGATTTGTAGCTTATTTGAATGTGAGCTAATGGAGCAGTTTCAGATTTTTTTTTCTCTGTTAGTTACTCTTTCCTGTGATTAACCGCTGGAACACTCAACTATTTATTGTGGATGTGTCCTAAAGGGTTTTTGTATATTAAGTGGACTGTTGTTGATTTCAAATATCTATCATAAATTGTCCGTCTTGGTTCAACTCTATGCCTATATATGTATTCATATATCAAGTTTCTAATGGGATACCTGAAAGTAAGGTAGTGTGGGTATCTCGATACTAATTGGCTGTAGAAACAGAGCATTTGTTTACATTAGCAAATTTTATCTCTATTCTATTTTGAGTAAGCCAGGCCCATCAAGTATCAATTCTCTTAAGTTACACATTCTATATTTTTTGCCCAGGTGGCCGAGTGGTTAGCGTGCCTGACTGCGAATCCAATGGCTGCGGGTTCGAATTCCGCTCTGGGCATGGATGTTTCTCTCTCTCTGTGTTGTCTTCTGATGTATGAATGTGGCCCACCCTATGAACGGGTATTTGTGGCAGTATGACGTGGGTAATGTTGGTCGCCTTCGTGACTTTGGTTCACAGGTGCCCTCTGGGTAACGATAAATGAACAACACTTCCGTCATCTTCTAAGGTGAAGAACGAAAGTTCAGTGCCTGCCGTTATTAGAAAAAAATATTTTTGCATGAAAATTCTTTCACAAAGATTTAAATTCTTTCACTATATATTTCTTACTTAACACAAAGACAAGCATGGAGAACATAAATTATGCATTTAGGTGGTCAGGTATACAAAACAAAAATATATCACTGTTACAATTAAATACATGAACAATAATAAATATATGCTGAGTAAAAGACTTAGACTAGAATGAATTATATTTCAATAAATTCAATGTGCAATACGGCACTGTATCTAGTTAACTTAAAGTCAATTAACCTTCTTACTGACGTGCAGAGACTTGGCGAAACTTTAATACACCATTTTGCATATCCGTGTCTGTATCAGTAATCTTCTTTTTAAGCGCAAATACCCAATGGAAAAGTCCAATTTTGAAAGCAGTGTTACTTTTCTTTTCTGAAAATATTAAAAGAATTTTTAATGTGTTTTTGTTATGGTGTAAAAATTCTGAAACAAAGAACTATACATTTAATTTTAAGCAAATCAAATATAATATCAAATATTATTAAATATTATCAAATATAATTAAGTATCAAATATAATTAAGTAAATAAATCATTCACTGAAGTTCTAAATTACTAGTAATAACTAGTAAGGGAAGTGTGCATCTGTAAAATTCCTAATAAAAGGAAATTAAGTTTAAATTAAATTGAATAATTGAAAACCTTGGATTGTCTAAAAGTTAGCAAACAGATCTGCCCTTGTGGTAAAATATGCCCCATTAAAATTTAAGTTTTTTTTATTCTAAACTAACAAAACTCTCCAGTCAATGTGTATTTGTTGTGTTACATTTAGGTTGTCTGCCTTTTACCAGAGAGGTATGGGGGTTTAATTCTTAGCTGGGACATTTGAATTTTATCTCTAATTTTCTCTTCTAAAAAAGTTGATAATTATTTAACATGTTTATTTAATTTATAGATTGTTATTTTTTAATTTATATAAAAAATTTTGAAAAAATTTAAATAAAGAAAAAAATGTTTAATTTTGTAAATTAATTGATAATTAAAATGTATAGATTATTTAAAAATTTTGTAGTTTCTTATTTTTTAATGTGATAAATGAATTTTATTTGCATTTTTTAACAGGGTGCGTAGCGTTTGAAAGGTGCTTTTTTGGGGATTTCATTTTTAAAAGCTTTTAAAGGTGCTTTTTTTCAGTTGGCCTTTTTAAAAAGTGCTTTTTTTTTTCGAATAATTTTTTCTTCCCTTCAGTGATATCTGGTGGATCGCATGCATTTCANTTTTTGAAAAAATTTAAATAAAGAAAAAAATGTTTAATTTTGTAAATTAATTGATAATTAAAATGTATAGATTATTTAAAAATTTTGTAGTTTCTTATTTTTTAATGTGATAAATGAATTTTATTTGCATTTTTTAACAGGGTGCGTAGCGTTTGTAAAAAATACTTAAAGGTGCTTTTTTGGGGATTTTGTTTTTAAAAGCTTTTAAAGGTGCTTTTTTTTCAGTTGGCGTTTTTAAAAAGTGCTTATTTTTTCGAATAATTTTTTCTTCCCTTCAGTGATATCTGGTGGATCGCATGCATTTCACGAAAAATGGGGAGTTTGCTACGTAATAATTCACGCTGACTTCATGTCGTACCCACGTTATGACTTGCGCATGCGCGCATACTTGAAACCGAAACCAGAGTGCTCCAATTCGGATTGAGAATGTCAGATCCTTATGAAATCTTTTCTTTTTAATTTATTTTAATTTTGTTCTTGTTTATTTAATTCACTTCTAACACTTTTTTTGACGTAGGGGGTAAGGGTACTTTTGTTCTGAGTTCAGGGTCAAGTTGAATTCACTNAAAAACCCAGACAGATCAATGATTTTGCTCTTTCATAAACGACACACCTTTCCAAGAAAACAAATATTATTATCATTTCAAAAAAAGACTTTCTGATATTTTTCACTAGAGTTACATTATTTTTAATTTAACTTTTGTAACTTAGTGATAATAGTGCTTGAAAAGTTTTTAAAAAGTGCTTATTTTTGATTCAAAGATTTGGCTACGCACCCTGTTTAATAATTTAAGGTTTTACTAAATTTAATTATGAAAATGTAAACGAAAGTATATCATTTTTTAAAAGCTATTTAGTGCCCTAATAGAACACCTTTTATCTCAATCTTCTTCTTCTTTTTTTTTTTTACTTGTAAAATGTATTAATTTCTAAAGAAAATAATTTTATAGTTAAGCAATTTTTCTTTTTTTTTATTTTATAATTTTTTTAAAATTTATTCCTCCCTTCTATCTTTTTTTCAATAAGTATAATGTTTTTGTTATATTTTCATAACTAAAAACTTAAATTATTTATTATAAGTAAATAAATTCAGTTGATTAACCCTCTGACTGATTATCCCGCGATTTCCACGGGCAACTGAATTGTAGCAAAATCTGCTCACCCCCTCGATTTCCGCGGGCATGTGTTTTTCTTCCTTTATTGATGAGCGCATCCCGTTTATTCCCCGTTTCAGCGGTATTAGACGTTTAATTTACGTTTTGACCAACATATGTCGTTAGTTGTCCTCTAAATTGCCGTATTTGAAAGCGCGTAGTGTAAAGCGATTTCGTAAGGACGGAAAGCGCGTAGTGTAAAGCAAATTTTTAAAGCGGCTTCGGTCCAGAAATGGAGCAGTCAGAGGGTTAAAAATGTTGATTTTTTTTTCCTAAAATAATCTATGTATATTAAGTAAAAAAAGAAACTAAATCTCCATTAATTTTTTGCTTTAAAATTTATTTGTTTTTATTTTTTTTGTTTTTTTTTTGTTTAAAAATATTTGAATTTAAAAATAATAATTTATAAAGTTAATAAAATGTATAAAATAATTATCATTTTTTTTAGTTCCAGCTGGGATTTGAATTTCAAACCTTTCTGGTAGAAGACGTTGGCTTCACTATTACGCCACAAATGCAGATTAGCTGGAAATTTTTGTTAGTTTAAAAGTAAATGAACTAAAACTCTGAAAGGGCATATTTCACCCGAGGTGCAGATCTGACTCTTAATTTTTTCTTTATGCAAGACTTTTAATTGTTTTCCTTAAGTTTAATTTCATTAGTGTTTAGTTTAATTTTATTATTTTACAGTAACATATACCTAATGCCATTTTAAGTTTAAACAATTACCACAAAATATAAGCACAGTACTTATCCTTCCATATTCGAATAGATAAGATCAATATAATGGCTAGATACATTTTCATATAATTCTGGAGAGTGTTAATTATAAGCATTTACAGAAAAAAACACAACTTTCATGCAGGCAATAATGTTTTCATGTATCATGCTTGGGTTTCTGGAAATTATGTATCAATTATGAAGCAATTCTATGGAAAAGTTTGTAGAAATGCCTCCCGTGGTAAAAATGTGGCATATAGATGTATTTCCAAAAGTCTCATTTATAAATTATTTAAATATATTTTTATTAAGTTTTTTATTTATTATTTTATTAAGTATGTTAATTATTTTTTGGGAAAAATATTTTATTCAAAAAATATATGTATGAATTAAATTTAATGTATTTTTAATGAGTGTTCATTTTTTTTCTTAGTGGTACATTCAAGCAACTTGTGCTACACAAGGCGATGGCCTTTATGAAGGATTGGATTGGTTATCTAGTGAACTTGCAAAAAATTCTTAAACAAGCATGTTTAAACAAGTCTCTCCATTGAATTGTATATTGTTATAGCACTTTTGATTGGTGCCTCTTATAATAGTCTTAATTTCAGAATTTATTTTTGCATATCCATAGATTAAATCATTACCTACTAAAAGTCTGCTTTATTTTTCTTTCTGCATCTTTGCTCTTTCTGGCACCATTACAAATTGTGACCTCTTTAGCTTTATTTTTAATTGTATTAAATATTTGTGGTGGTAGGATTATTGCTTAGGCCAGTTTGAAATTAAGAATTCATCTATATATTTAAACTATGTCTTAAGTATACTGCACTATTGTGATGATTTATGAATGAAACTTTATAATATATGTTAATAAGTTTTGTTTTTGGAGGAGGCTTTTTCTATGTTTTGATTGTGAATTTGCATTTTTATTTTCTGTAGGACTATCTATTTTTTTTTCTCTCATTAAAATACAATTAGTGTGATAATATTCTATTTATTCCAGTTGGCATTGTGGTGTTTTTGAAAAATATTTTTATTAGATATCGTGGATGCATTTTATACCAAAAAGTTTTATTTCATATTTTCATTGCTTGTATCTGATATAATTGAACTTAGACGGTATATTTGAAAAGTTGGGAGGACGATCTCATAAAATAAAAGAAGCTAATTGCTTTTACTGTCATTGGAAACTAATTAAGTGATGGCTATTAGCTGCTACACAATTTTTTTTTTTGAAACATCATTGCCATGCTTCGTTGTCATTTTTGACATTGTTTGCACTATATTGAAAAATATCTTCCTTTTTCAGTCCTAAAGCAGGTAACTTTTTGTGTACTGCTAGCACACCCTACATTTTCCCTGACATTTTTTATGTGTCTCTTTTGATGATTTGCTTACTCTGAAACGAATGTTGATTCCAGTTTGAAATGTTCCTGTTTAAAATGACACTCCCCTTACATTGATTGCATTAAATTAATCCACTTCAGCCTGTCATGATTGCCATGTTTTTGTTCACTGTTTGTGTGAGCACAAATTTCTGTAGTGGATTTTGACTACTTTTTTTTGGTTTATTGGTTTAATAAATAATTTTACTGATTTCTCTTCATTTTATATTAGAAAATTCTCTAAAATTTGAAAAGTGATAGCAAAAAAAGAAAAAAATTCCTATAAAAGTAAAATTTTTGCTCCGTTTATTTTGTTTGAATAAGAGCTACCACTGAACAAATAAGTAAGCCTCATTAATAGTAATTTATATAAAGCTTTTTTATTTTAATATGTTCTAAATTTTTCAGTTTTTGTTTTTTTAAAATTCAGAACTCTTTATTTTGTAATTGAAAAATTTGTTATTCTAAAATGAATTCGTTATTATTCAAAAATATAAGATATTTTTTTTTATTTTTATTAAAATGTATTTGCCAATCATAAATTGAAGATGTTATGGTTAATTAAAATTTACAGTTATTAGTGTCAAAAATTTCTACAATTCCTTTAGTCTAAAATATCCTTGATATTATTTGAATGTTAGCATGAATTTAATATTTTTCATAAATTATACTGGATATTTTTCGCTTCATGTTAGCAGATATTACCTCCTAAAAAGCACAATTATTCAACTATGGGACCATTCACCAAACTTTTCAAATCCACATTTTCGTGTGGTTCGAGTAAAAAATTAAGCTATTTCATGTTTATATTTAGATCCTTTTACAGAAGTATTTATTGATTTGTATACTTTGATTTTCTTACTCATTCGTAGATAATTTCTAGCATATTTTTTAAGCATTTTTCTCTTTGATCAGACTTACAATAAAACATGAACTTTTTCTAATTGAACTTTTATCATGCTATGCAATCATTATTTTTATATTTGTTTGAAAATAACATAAAATAACTGGTAAATTTCCTTTTAAATTTTTGAACTGTAAAAAGTTTTTTCATTTATATAAGTCAAAAATTATATTAAATTTATTAAAATATTTAATTTTATTTTTACATGCTTTTAATCAGAATTTTATGAAGAAAAAAATAAGTACCTCTGGTGATTGCTTGAATGAATGATTCATTTATTAATTTTTAAACAATATTTTAATACAAAAATATCAACTGGCATCTAAAAGATTTTTTTATTGTTTATAAACTATATGTTCTGAATTCAATGTTTTATGCTAATTATGTGCTTTTATAATTTACTAGTTCATTGAGCATTAAATATTAGTATAGCAAAACCTCCAATTTCTTGTTTTGAGGGAACACTATTTTTTATTCTTTTATTTTTTGACTGCAAAATACATGTTATTAAAGCAGTTAATAAACAATATGCTGTAGTTTTTACATTAGATACTATCTTTCTTTTCATATGTGACTTCAGTTTCATAAAATGTTTTGATATCTGTTCATATTGTAAAATAAAAATAAATTTTGAAAATATTTTGTGGCCTTATTTTTGATTTGTTAATTTTTAAAAAATTTTGTATTACTAATTTTATTTAAATATTATTGTCTTTGTACGTTTACAGTATTTAATTTAAACTATTTATTATTTTTTTTTTAAAAGTTGAGATTACCAGAGCTGTGGAGTCAGTAAAGTTTGCTTTCTTGAGAGCTTGGTTTTAACTCCAAAATTTATTCAACTTGTATTAAAAAAATTACTCTATTGAAGGTACTTTATTTAATATTAAATTTTTTTAACATTACAGTTGAAGAAATGAATCATTTAAGAAAATTTATTTGTACAGAGTATTGAAACTGTGCATAATTATTTTATATATATATAAAAAAAAAACTAGATTTCAATATGTCTAACATATATTGTGCTCAAACATCTTAAACAAGATTGTTTAATGATTAGTCATGAATTAGAGAATTCTAATAAATCCTACATTAAATTAATTTTCTTTTAAAATTAACTTTGTAACTTAGCTAAGAAAATTTGGTTTTGAATGTAACGATTTTAATAATAACTCTTCAATTTGACCATGTATTACATTGAATTTTTAAATTTTTTTTTAGTAGTTTAATCAAACAATGCCGCAAAGGAGTTAAGTTGGTGATAAGCCATAATCTAAATCATAATAGCATAATTACAACCTTAAAGACCCTATCGCTGATTATTGGGACCTGGGATATTAAGTTTTGTGTCTAAATGGTCTTGCATATGTTGGATTCTTAAATTTCGACTAAAAGAACTGTCTAAAATCAGGGTATTAACTGATCTTTTATCACTCTTCACTAAATCACAGGTTTGAGTTTTCTTCTACTAAAATCATTCAACACTGCTCTTCATCTTGATTTTTGAGACTCTTTCTACATTTTGAAAAATTCTTATTTAGTTTATGAACTTTCGAATATTTGAAAGTTTATTTTAGTTTAATCTGTTACATTCAGATGCTCCTGTCAAATCCTCTCCCTTGTTTCCTTTCCTCCCCTTATCTCGTTGTTCAAACTTGTTTCTCTATCCTGATTTGTTAAACCATTTTACTCATGTTTGTCTCTTTACTTCTCTATCTTCATTTGATATTTAGGCTCTAAGAAAGGTATGCAATTTTGAACCTTAGCTTTGTAATTTTGAACCCAAACCAGAAGAAAGGGGAAGTCCTGGATAAAGTATTAGGAGTAATTTACATTCTTTGAGTACTTCGTAATGGAACTAACCCGCATTTGCGTTACACGGAGAAGAAAACCATGAAATCCTCTCATTGTTACCCGTGCGGCTAGGGGATTCTAACCCATAATTGGATTACCACTGAGGAAGTTTTTGTTATCAATACGGATTCAGCACTGTGGGTGTGAAATTAGTATTGACATGCCATCGCTGGAATTCGGACCTGGGTCACCTGATTGGAGGTGAGGGCTCTATTCTCTCAGTCAGCATAGCTCCTCCCTTCATTTGCTTCTTGGAGATAAGTTCATAGCTCCCAGTACTTCTGCTTTTGACTTTAGTTTCGGGGAGGGAAATGTCGGATTTCAGGGCCTCAGGTCAGCAATGGGTTTCTTTAAGCTTTTTCCTTAACTGTATGAATTGGGTGACCTAGGCCAACTTGGCATACAACAATAGAACTTTTTCCTCCTGATCAGCGATTTTGTAGTTCGAATGTGTTTGTTTTATCTTTAATTCATTTTTTATTTAAATTTTGTTTTCGAAATGTCCGATAATACAAAAATATATAACTATTTTAAGTAGGAAATGGAACTGAATTTAGGTGCGCATCTGCTGAATAAAAATTGGGTCTAAGAAAATAAATTGCTTAACTTAGAAATTTACATGAGATATGTTTTAAATAAAGTGTGTACACATGATTCTTCTTTTAAGGTTGATGTTTAATTCAAGCTAAAGTAACTGATTCTGAAGCTTAAGCAATGTTTAGAGTTTTATTTTTATTTGGCATCAAGTTTGTTGTTAATAATTTTTCTGTTTCGAGAGATGATGTCACAGCTCGTTTCTTGATATTCTATAAATTCAGTATTGTTCTTTGGAGTGCGATGACTTTTATTATTTGATGAGATCCACACAAAATGGTGTCAATAACAGGAAAAGTAATGTCTGCATGTGTGAGAATATTCAGAAATGTAACCAAAATCCAAACTTAATTTTGTTTTTGCATGTTGAAAACTTAAAAGATTTTGTTTACTGAGAATTCAAACCAGAAAGAGTTTCAGAACTTTTTTAAATAAGCTATATAAGTTACTCAGTTGGTTTTAAGACAATAGATTAAAATTTATCTGATTAAAGACTTTATTCGCTTCAAAAATATATAAATAGGAAATAACGGTCGCCGTGTTTTAATCGCTCAAAAATAGGCTCCCATTTTCATGACTCGCCAGACGTGATCGAATGAGAAGAAAAGTGATTAGAAATATAAAACGTAAAGTTTCCAACGAAAAATGGAAAAATAAAGTTGTGAAACAAAGCTAGAGAAACCACAGTAGCCGAGAGAGAGAGAATTCACAGTGGCCGAAAGGGACAAATCGGGGTAAAGTGCATTTCCACGTGCCATGGAAAGGTGGTGAGTAACTGATGTCGTTGACAAGGGAATCAGCATTCATATGAATAAAAAAAGACTCCAAGGCAGGAGCTGATGTGCCTGGGGTGGAAATAATTTTCGCATTGTCAAAATTGATTTTATACCCAAGATTCCAACAATGTGCAGCGATTTATTATTTTTCGTAATCTCGATAACGGGCATATCTATCGAATTACTTTAAGTTTAAATTTTAATCAATGTCACACTGACAAGGATTGTGGTTAATTCCCCTGCACGTATCAAAGCTTATAGGATCTCTTGGAGACTTAAATTTGATTTTGTTAACGGGCCTAAAAATGATTTTAAAACCAAAACGGGAGAGGATATTTTTCCGTATTCTTTATTATAAGAGTAAATTTGTTTTAGCTTCTAAAAATAATTTTAAAAAGAACAACTATGTTTAAACTAAATTTATATATATATAAAAAATAATAATCCATTTTTATAAGAACGAAAGAAAAATTCATTTAGAAAGCTCTGATGCCGTTGAAGTTACCCATGTTTTGTGCACAAAACGGGTTGTTTTGAGAGTAATTAATGTATCTCTTGTCAGTTTCGCAGTAATTTCTTCGGTTGTTATAATTTTCACGTTTTTCCACTTTCTTTATATTGTCATAATTTCTTTTAATATGCTCTTCATATGTGAGTGAATACAACTGATGTTTTCGTGAGATATGCTATAAATTTCATGATAACCATCTTACTGCCAACGATTTGTTAAAGATCTTTAAAATGATATCTTAGTTTGAAAATCCCTACCAAAAAAGTTCAATAATCTCGATGATGTCTGACTCTGTTTAATTAACAAAAGAGAGTCCCTAGGCCATCTTTGAAGGCCTTATTAGCTAGTGTTATTCAATACGAATATGCATTTTTATTCATATGAGCTTAAAAATTTTATTAAATTATACGTACTTAGTTTTATATTCTAGTACATAAGAACAGTTATTTTAACGCAATCCACAAGCAGGATAACAAAAAAATTTTTTTTTTATTCATTGAAAATTAATTTTTGATTCAATAATGAAATGAATCGCAATCCCCATCAAGATGATTGTTTAATGATTTATTTCTCGTTAAATATTTCGGTACTTTTCTATCTCGTTGGCACAGGTAAGTTCAGCTATTTTCTTAATCTTTCAAGAAAATAACTATCAGTTATAATTTTTTTTTGTTGAAAAAATGAAAGAAAGAAAAATTTGAACTTTTTGATTTTACATTAATCGAGTTAATCGCCTGCTCTGACGAAATGGAAAAGTACCGATTTTTCTTTTGGTTACTATGTTTATGCATTAAATATTAATGTTTTAGGTTTTACGCGACTTACTACCTGAACAAATCTGAAAATGTTCTGCCACGCATAAGAGAAAGAAAAAAAAAGTATAATCGTTATTAAATACCTTAGAATGTTTTTAGTTCAAACTAAAATGGAACTGTAAAAGCATTTGAATGATTCAAAATATGAATTAGGAAAAAATCTATTTTTTTTATTTTATTGTAAGATGTAAAAACATTGGGTAATTGTTCCATATTTTATTCAATAATTTGCTTACCGATTTGTTTATACAATCAGTAATGTTGTGCTTTGGTTATTGAAAATAAAATAAATATTAGAAATTCTATAAGACGGTGATTATATTAGTTAAAAAACATATTGATGTACTACATTGTGTAGATATTTGTAATTCCTTAAAATGAATAGTATTTAAATAAGCATTTTTTCCTAACAATCTTGATTAGCAATGTAAATAATAGTAAATAACTAAAAAAGTTCACAAATAAAATTTTTAGGTAAATTGAAAATAAACGAAAATTTGAAGAAAAAAAAATATTTTATTAAAACTGAAAAGTTTACATTGTTAAAAACTAAGAATTATATTGTTAAAAAATAACTACTTTATAATCCAAAGTACCAGGAAATTATTTTCACCAAATTATCCTTTTTGATAATTCTCTCAGTTCTTCACAATTAGATAATTACTTAAATAATATACGTACGTTAAATAACAATGCTCTTAACATAAACTATTTAAGTAATTATTTAACCCAGTAATACACGTTTTTAGCAATTTTTCTTAAAATTAAACGCTTTACCTGAACTGCCAGCGGATAAATACGAAACAGATACCAACAATAACGTAAATTCCAAGTGACGTCCACTTATCGCATAGGAGATCTCGACAGAGGTTGAAGGTTAGAAAAATACGAAGTGGAAATCTATACGATCTACCAATGGAAAGTAAGCGGAACTTGAATTTCTTGGAACAGAAGTCTACTTAACATCCTTAATCATATGCATTAACTTTTAAGATCTTCATTGGTTTCTTGTGGCGCAATGAATTCATTATCTTTCATTGTGCTAATTTGCTTATTGATTATACCTTGTCTCAAAGCGCAGTAAGTTTTTGTCTTGATATCTCCAAAGAATTCGAAACTAATTGTATTCTGTTTTCTATGTATAGTTTTCTTCTTTACTATAAGTTATTTTTCGCCCATTAAAATTTTCTAGTATATTTTATGCTTTTTTTTCTGCTTTTACTGAGAGAAAAAAAAGAGTCAAAGCTAAAAATTAAACAGAGATCTTAACTTTAAACGTCGATGAATATTCAATCTACGTAGTGTGAGATTCGTAAGTTTTGTCTTGATATCTGCTACGAACTATTTGAATGTGAAACTAATTGCATTGTGTTTATATGTAGTTTTCTTCCCTGCGTGTGATGTTTTGCCCATTTAAATTTTCTAATTTATTGTTTTGTTTCTGCTTTTACTAAGATAAAATATATAAAATATTTAAAGATAAAAAATTAAACAAAGATTTTAATTTTAAACTTATTTCATACTATCAATGAATTTTCAATCTAAGTAGTGTGAGATACTTACGTTTTGTCTTGATATCTGCTATGAACTATTTGAATGTGAAACATGTTTATTAACAGTTTTTTTCTTTACTGCACATGAATTTTTTTTCATGTTGAATTTTCTTAAATATTATGTTTTCTTTCCTGCTTTTACTAAGAGAAAAAATATTTAAATAAAAGCACAGATCTTAATTTCAAACGTCAAAGAATACTCAATCTACGTAGTGTGAAAAAGTTAAGTTTTTTCTTGATATTTCCAATGAACTATTTGAATGTAAAACTAATTGTATTGTGTTTATAAACAGTTTTCTTCTTTACTGCCAGTAATTTTTTTTCTAGTTGAGTTTTTAAGTTTTTACTTAAAAAAAAAAGATTTAAAGATTAAAATAAAGCACAGGTTTTTATCCTAAACTTATTTTTATTATTTTAAACTTATTACTCTATTAATAAATGTTCTATCCACGAAGTGTGAAGTTCTGGTTCAAATACTAGTAGATGAACTTGTTGAAAGTGAAATTATAATTGTATTGAGTTTATAAACAGTTTTTTTCTTCCTTGCAAATAATTTTTTTCGCAGTTAAACTTTCCAATATGTTTTTTTTTTCTGTTTTCACCAAAGGAAAAAAAGATTTGAAGGGAAAAATTTAATATAAATTTTATTTGTATGCCTATTTTGTACTGTCAATGGGAATTCTGGTGACACAGTTTAGAAAGTTTGGCTCATATAGAACCATAATATCATATAAGTTTTCCGCAACCTTTATATGGTTCTAAGTTGCATTAATATATATACTAAGTGGTATTGTTAAGTTTGATTACATAATGCTATATTTCAACGTTTATGGAACAGTGGTTTAATGTTACGCATTATCAATTTACAGCGTGTTACTGTTCAACGTTAAATCAATTTTTTTAGAGTATAGATATATAGAATACGTGAGATATCAATGTGCTTCCCCGGATATTTGTAATTTTGGATCCGACTCAGAAGACATTTAAATCTTAAGCTAATTATCGGGGCTAGTTCATCTCCACGTAGGATATTTAGAATAAAACTTGCCAGCCCTACATGGACTGGTAAACCACAAAAATCTACCATTGTTGACTCGACGGCAATGATTTTCCTTCTTCGTCTCTGGTATTATACTGCAAACAACTAAGTCAAAAAATATTAATAAGTAAATAAACAAATAAAATAAAGTACCTGGTAGTTACAGAGTTGTGGCACTATGAAAAAACGCATGGTCACAACGTCTAGAATACGGACAAATTCACCAAGTTTCTTCTACGGGACTACCAAAAAGCTCGTTTATTTTTACCGAAGCACTTTTGTAAAGATTTTGGTAAAATATTACAATAAAATATAGTTTTATAATATGTGATAAAATTTGGTAATTTTATCGTGATAATAATGCTTTTCGGCCTTTTTATCTCTAAGAACCGATCAATGTTTGATAATTTTTCCGCGGCTCTCTGAGGGAAGAGTGGACGTAAATGGTTTTGATTTAATAATTTTAATGTAATTGTATTTAAAAATTGCTACAAAGTAGCACACATTTGCTTTCGGGATATTGGTGCGGANCCTATTTTATACTGTCAATAGGAATTCTGGTGACACAGTTTAGAAAGTTTGGCTCATATAGAACCATAATATCATATAAGTTTTCCGCAACCTTTATATGGTTCTAAGTTGCATTAATATATATACTAAGTGGTATTGTTAAGTTTGATTACATAATGCTATATTTCAACGTTTATGGAACAGTGGTTTAATGTTACGCATTATCAATTTACAGCGTGTTACTGTTCAACGTTAAATCAATTTTTTTAGAGTATAGATATATAGAATACGTGAGATATCAATGTGCTTCCCCGGATATTTGTAATTTTGGATCCGACTCAGAAGACATTTAAATCTTAAGCTAATTATCGGGGCTAGTTCATCTCCATGTAGGATATTTAGAATAAAACTTGCCAGCATTACATGGACTGGTAAACCACAAAAATCTACCATTGTTGACTCGACGGCAATGATTTTCCTTCTTCCTCTCTGGTATTATACTGCAAACAACTAAGTCAAAAATATTAATAAGTAAATAAACACATAAAATAAAATACCTGGTAGTTAAGAGTTGTGGCACTATGAAAAATCGCATGGTCAAAACGTCAAGAATACGAACAAATTTACCAAGCTTCTTCTATGGGAACACCAAAAACCTCGGATATTTTTACCGAAGTGCTTTTGTAAATATTTTGGTAAAATATTTCAATAAAATATAGTTTTATAATATGTGATAAAATTTGGTAATTTTATCATGATAATAATGCTCTTCAACCTTTTTATCTCTAAGGATCGGTCAATGTTTGATAATTTTTCCGCGGCTCTCTGAGGGAAGAGTGGACGTAAATTGTTTATATTTTAAATGGTTTTGATTTAATAATTTTAATGTAATTGTATTTAAAAATTGCTACAAAATAGCATACATTTGTCTTCGTGATATTGGTGCGGATTTATGTAAAATCTCCCAGTCATCCTATCGTCTATGGAAAGTCGTACAAACCAGAGAGTAATACACCACAATAAGTAAAATGGAAGTAATTTAATGCTCCTTAGGTAACCGAGTTGTTTAGACAAACTCGAGAGGATTGCACCATAGTAAATAAAATGGAAATAATTTAATGTTCCTTAGGCAAACTCGAGAGAAATACACCATAGTAAATAAAATGGAAATAATTAAATGTTCCTTAGGCAAACTCGAGAGGATTGCACCATAGTAAATAAAATGGAAATAATTTAATATTCCTTAGGCAAGCTCGAGAGGAATACACCATAGTAAATAAAATGGAAATAATTAAATGTTCCTTAGGCAAACTCGAAAGGATTGCACCATAGTAAATAAAATGGAAATAATTAAATGTTCCTTAGGCAAACTTGAGAGGAATGCACCAAACTATATAAAATGGAAATAATTTAATGTTCTTTAAGCAACCTAGTACCATTTGATTTACGGAGGCGTGGTTTGGGGGCCAATGCTTTAGAGCATGATATGAAATCTATTTTTTTGGTTGAATTTACTTTTCAGTTTTTTTCCCTAAATGAGTGGTAATAAGAACTATAATTTTTAAACTAAAGTTTTAAAAGCAGATTGATTCTTAAACTTTTTCATTAATCTATGTATTTTTAATAAACTAATTTGGTAACTTATAGTAACTTAAAATGAGCAATGAATATCCCCAAATTTTTTTTATCCGATGAATGCGATTAATGTTTGAAATTATTTTTAGGACATTCTATTTGACAGCTCCTAGCACTCTTCGATTGGATTCTGATGAAACAATTGCTATTGCAGTTGAAGGCAAAGATGGAGCCTTGGTCAATGTTTACATCCAAGATTTTCCAGGGAAGATAAAAAATATAACACAAACTGTTTTGGAAGTTTGGCCAGGTATAACAATGTTTTTGTTACATTATAAATTGGACTTTTAAAACAAAAGCATTAGTTCATGGAAAGGGGTAGGCAATGTAATAATTACTGTATTAATATTCTTGTTATATATTAATGCTATATTTCAACGTTTATGGAACAGTGGTTTAATGTTACGCATTATCAATTTACAGCGTGTTACTGTTCAACGTTAAATCAATTTTTTTAGAGTATAGATATATAGAATACGTGAGATATCAATGTGCTTCCCCGGATATTTGTAATTTTGGATCCGACTCAGAAGACATTTAAATCTTAAGCTAATTATCGGGGCTAGTTCATCTCCACGTAGGATATTTAGAATAAAACTTGCCAGCATTACATGGACTGGTAAACCACAAAAATCTACCATTGTTGACTCGACGG